ACACACAACACAAGACTAAAACAACGAGAACTTATAGGACACATAATAAACACTAAACGGAAACAGGTGTACCAATAAGACAAAACCAAACAAACATCGAAAACATACAACGGTGGCAGCTAGTACTCCGGGGACGACGACCGCCGAAGCCTGCCCGAACAAGGAGGAGGAGCAGCCTCGGCCGAAACCGTGACAATGTCCAATGTAACAAATTATAGTAGACTCTGCCAGGTGACACCATCATTATTTCCATGTGTCTGATTTGCCTTACGTTGTGAGATCCGTTTGTGATGGAAGCTGTGAAATATAGTTTCCTTTAAGGTCAGGAATATTTCACTCCTTAAATCCAGAGATGACTTGAGCCTTACATCAACAACTACATGAAGAGCAAGACATGGGATGTGATCCACACTGAAAGGTCAAGACATCCACATTGACAATTGATACAGTGGGAAAATAAATGACACTGTCATTTTCAAGAAATATATTACATTTCAAAATGGCTGTCATACATTTCAGCCATTGCAGTAGAAAAGCCATTTCACTTTATTATATTTTCATGAATAACACAAGGTTGAGCCGTTGATGCTTTTCCTTTATGTAGTACAGAGTGTTGCTGGAATGTCACAACATATTACTGCTATTTTGACAGAAGAGACACAAACCAGTTTACCCTTTCAAAAAATGATGAGAAATGCATTAGGACCCCCTATCCAAACAGATAACACATATTGTTCAATGCTTGACAGAGAATTTCCAGGAAAGCATTTTGCTGTACTGTAGTGTTTGTACACAATCTCAGATGATCTTCCATGAAAGACAACTGTTCAACCAAAATACATAATTTTTTGAGGGAAAAGGGGCTTGAAACTAAGACCCTTTAGAGCAGAGTTTCCTAAACTCGGTCCTGGGGCCCCCCCTGGATGCACGTTTTGGTTTTTGCTCTAGCACTACACAGCTGATTCAAATAATCAAAGCTTGATGATGAGTTGGTTATTTGAATCAGCTGTGTAGTGCTAGGGCAAAAAACAAAATGTGCACCCAGGACCGAGTTTGGGAAACCCTGCTTCAGAGTGTGACTAAAAGCTCTTGCACAGAAAAGATTGATGTGGAGAGCTATCAATCAATCAATCAATCACATTTATTTATAAAAAACATTTTACATCAGCAGTTGTCACAAAGTGCTTATACAGAAACCCAGACTAAACCCCCAAAAAGCAAGCAATACAGATGTGGAAGTTAAATCTAGAATCGGCTTCCTATTTCGCAACAAAGCCTCCTTCACTCATGCTGCCAAACATGCCCTCGTAAAACTGACTATTCTACCGATCCTTGACTTCGGCGATGTCATTTACAAAATAGCCTCCAACACTCTACTCAGCAAATTGGATGTAGTCTATCACAGTGCCATCCGTTTTGTCTCCAAAGCCCCATACGCTACCCACCACTGTGACCTGTACGCTCTTGTTGGCTGGTCCTCACTACATGTTCGTCGTCAAACCCACTGGCTCCAGGCCATCTATAAATCACTGCTAGGCAAATCCCCGCCTTATCTTAGCTCATTGGTCACCATAGCAGCACCCACCCGTAGTCTGCGCTCCAGCAGGTATATCTCACTGGTCATTCCCAAAGCCAACACCTCCTTTGTCCGCCATTCCTTCCAGTTCTCTGCTGCCAATGACTGGAACGAATTGCTAAAATCTCTGAAGCTGGAGACTCTTATCTCCCTCACTAACTTTAAGCATCAGTTGTCAGAGCACCTTACCGATCACTGCACCTGTACACAGCCCATCTGAAATTAGCCCACCCAACTACCTCATCCCTATATTGTTATTTATTTTGCTCTTTTGCACCCCAGTATCTCTATTTGCACATAATCTCTTGCACATCTAGCATTCCAGTGTTAATACTATTGTAATTATTTTGCACTATAGCCTATTTATTGCCTTACCTCCATAACTTGCTACATTTGCACACACTGTATATATATTTTCTGTTGTATTTTTGACTTTATGTTTTTTACCCCATATGTAACTCTGTGTTGTTTTTATCGCTCTGCTTTGCTTTATCTTGGCCAGGTCGCAGTTGTAAATGAGAACTTGTTCTCAACTGGCTTACCTGGTTAAATAAAGGTGAAATAAAATAAAAAAAAGTGGAAGCACGGTGGCTTGGAAAAATCCCTAGAAAAGCAGGAACCTAGGAAGAAACCTAGAGAGGAACCAGGCTGTGAGGGGTGGCCAGTCCTCTTCTGGCTGGAGATTGTAAGGGTACCATTAAGGCTAAATCGTTCTTCAAGATATTCAAACATTCATAGATGACCAGCAGGGTCAAATAATAATCACAGTGGTTATAGAAAGTGCAACAGGTAAGCACCTCAGGAGTAAATGTCAGTTGGCTTTTCATAGCCAAGCATTCAGAGGTCGAGAGAGAGAGAGAGAGAGAGAGAGAGAGAGAGAGAGAGAGAGAGAGAGAGAGAGAGAGAGAGAGAGAGAGAGAGAGAGAGAGAGAGAGAGAGAGAGAGAGAGTTGAAACAGCAGGTCCAGGACAAGGTAGCATGTCCGGTGAACAGGTCAGGGAGGATTTGCCAAAGTGAATACCCTATGCTCCCAAAGGGGCCAAGAGGATCAAGTCAAAGTTTGACTCAATAATCATCAGTACTATAGCAATGTAGAATAAAAGTGCACCAATCAATAGTCATCTATGGAGATGATGACTCTTAAACATTGCATGACCTGTGCTGGAGTGCTTCAATCTGCTTCCTGTTGTTTGTATATCTGCTGAACTCATTTGAACTGAGGACCCATCATGCATCATATCCACTATGTGAATCACTGCAGAAGCATTTTGGGTTGCGTTAATGAGGTTTGAGTGCTCATTTGCTTTCTCCTCTAATTAGCTGTAATTAGTGGTAAGAGCTCATGGATCCTTTGTTTCCCTCAGGCTACCCAGGATACTACAAATTGAGACTGAGACACAGCATTTCCACTCACATCAGTTAAATAATAATAATAATAATATGCCATTTAGCAGACGCTTTTATCCAAAGCGACTTACAGTCATGTGTGCATACATTTTTACGTATGGGTGGTCCTGGGGATCGAACCCACTACCTTGGCGTTCAAAGCGCCATGCTCTACCAATTGAGCTACAGGGGACCACTGTTACAACTCATACAGAGTTACAGCTCGTACATGCATTTCAGGACATACACATAGTAGCCTATACACTGAGTATACCAAGGAACACCTTCCTAATATTGAGTTGCACTCCCCCCCCCTTTTTGCCTTCAGAACAGTCTCAATTCATCGGGCATGGATCTACAAGGTGTCGAAAGCGTTCCACAGGGATGCTGGCCCATGTTGACTCCAATGCTTCCCACGGTTGTGTCAAGTTGGCTGGATGTCCTTTGGGTGGTGGACCATTCTTGATACACACGGGAAATTGTTGAGCATGAAAAACCCAGCAGCATTGCAGTTCTTGACACAAACCGATGCGCCTGGCATACTATCTTCAAAGGCACTTCAATATTTTGTCTTGCCCATTCACCCTCTGAATGGCACACACAATCCATGTCTCAATTGTCTCAAGGCTTAAAAATCCTTCTTTAACCTGTCTCCTCCCCTTCATCTACACAGACTGAATTGGATTTAACAAGTGACATCAATAAGGGATCATAGCTTTCACCTGGATGTACCTGGTCAGTCTATGTCATGGAAACAGTATGTCATGTTCTTAATGTTATGTATACTCTGTGTATTTACCTACATTACATGATAGAGGATATGCACTGTGCCACTATAGGTCATATGCATTCTGCACATTATATGATTATTCACAGTGCATAATCACATAGCATACATCCAGGACATCATCTTTGTTAGAGGTCTTTTGTGTCTCTGATAATTGGTTAATGATGATGGATGATTGGTTTTGTGCTGCTCTGATCTCTAACATGTTTTTTCATGCAATCAGAGGTTATAACAAGAGGCACAGCTCAATTATCTGATTTCTCTGATCAATCTGATTATTGATGTATGTTATATCAACTGGTATTATTGTTTGATGTTATGGTTACACGTTTTTAAATTATTTAATAAATTAAACCAATCAGGGTATTACACAGATGTCCTCCTATAACTTGTTGAAGACCCCTGCAGAATAGAACAGTGTTGGAGTTAATTCAAACAATTCAAGTGAGTCTAGAGTAGGTTCGCATTATTTATTACTCATAGTCAATAACTTCCACATATAATATGATATAGTGTAATAATAATTTAGATGATAAAGATACTATTGTTGTGATGAAAATAATGTAATAAGGAAACGTATTTATGCATTTTCTTTGCCTCTCACAGTTGTAGGCTATTCCATGGCTACATCGAATTATATGGTTACATGGGGACGTAGACCTTGACTTGAGGTTCATAGATATCCTATGTTGAGGTTATTGTCATTTCTCTGACGTCATATTTGAGCGGGAGTGCGCGGCGTAGCCGGAGCTGTGCGTGTGCTGGAGTCTCCGCTGAGCTGCGGTGTTGTGCTTGTCTCTCTCATACCCCACTCTACAAAGTTTGGCGAGCCATATCCTTCTGCATTCAAACAGAAAATATCTAACATCGTTTCGTTCAGCACAAATTCAATATTTTACAGACACAAAAAAAGGAACAGAAGGAACTAATATCCAGAGGGTAAGTTATCAAGTGCGCGGATTGGTGAAATGATGCATTACGCTCTAAGCTTTAATTGTGTTATCACAGTAAAAACATGATTTAATTTACCTGTATATATAATGGAGATGGATCGTTTTCATTCGTTTTTTGAACGGCACATAAGAAAGTTGGTTTAATATACAAACGTAAATTATTAATTATAATTTGACGCACATCTTCAACTTTTTTATCGTTCTTTTTTTTCTCACGGGTTTCCTTCACGCATAGCCAAAGGCATATGCTGGTAGCCCCCTTTTCTCCTTTTCGTTAGGTGGTCAAACATAACCAAAAATGGAACGCACCCCGGTTGAAATTTTCAAGGAAGACAAGTGCCTCTCCGCGCTCGCCGAAGACTGTTATATGAATGCTACTACGCAGTCTGGATACCCAGAAGGTCACAATCTGACTTTTGACTCTGACTGGGAAGAGGATCCCATGTCCCCAATCATCCCCATCATCACAGCTGTGTACTCCGTGGTGTTCGTAGTGGGCTTGGTGGGCAACTGCCTCGTCATGTATGTTATCATCAGGTAAGGTTTATCATGATCTATTTGCTCACTCACCTCAATATTGCATTGATATCAACTTTGACAATATATAGGCTATTGCTAAAGATTTTTGGCAAATTAATGGTATGCTAAAAAATACAACATTACAGTAAGATGCCCATGCATTACACCTAACCACATTTTAGCACAAAAAAACAAAAAGTACATTTTTCTGACATCTGCAACACTTGTGAGCCACCCAGTGGCAGGTGCATGTTTAAACTTTATTGTACAAAATGTACAATCACTATATGGTTTGTTGATTATTTTGTTTCAATCATGACCCATTCAGAACATATACTGTACCGTTCTATTGGAGGGAACAATACCTTTTTACTATTGGGCCTTTTTACAGTTGGAATGCTACATCTTTTTGGGGCGATGTTTATAAGAGTTTTAAATGTGTCATTTAAAACCAGTGGCCCTCTATAATGCTGATTGGGTTGCTTGCACCTCATTGGGTTTTATTTATGCTGTGTAGACAAATAAATCAGAGCTGGTGTCATGTGCAGTGCACCAACACCTCACAAAGTGCTCCAGACTAGACGATTACCGCAAATCAGTTTTATTGCACATTACCTGTCATCCACAGTGCCATTCAGTCACTTCCCCAAGTTTATTCCATTCTATTGGTTAGCTAATTGCGATACACTCTCAGCTCTCTGTTTTTTGTAGCCAGCTCAGTTGAGAATTTGTATATTTTTATCTGGTTGACAGATTTTTTTTCTTACACATCTTCTTCTTAATAGAAGTTTCCTAAATTATACATTTAGTAATCTCGGTTACCCAGAAGTAAAATTATAGCAAGAATTGTCTGTCCACGAGAGATTATACATTTAGCAATCAGGAAATGGAATGCACTTGCAAAGTGGATCCAAATATGATTTATTTCATATGATTTATTAGCATAACACCAAATGGGCATAATGGAAGTCCTCTACTTCTGAACTCAAGTGGCAACATGTCACTGTTGTTATGGTTACATTACCACCTCAGAGCTGTGATTGATTCTAGGGAAGATTGGGGTTTCAGTCCTGTTGTTATGGAGTTATTTCACTAGGGTCTGTCCTTAAATCACCTGTGACAGAAGTCATTGGAAGATGGAGGCATCATCACCCCTGCAGTGGCTGGAACTTTATCATGTGCTCCCAAGGACTAGGATTTGACTATGGTAATGTCCCAAATGGCACCCTATTCCCTATATAGTGCACTATTTTGACCAGACCAATATGGGCAACATACAATATGTCTTGTGCAAAATGCAACAAAATGAGATACAAGCTTTTTACGGGATGGTTAAACGATATGCACATTTGAAGCAGTGGTCTCCACAGCAATTACCCATTGCATGCTCAATAATATAGGCTGAGTGAAATGGAGCATGTCCAAGGTATTGATCCAAAAAGCAACAGGCTCAACTAACCTCTAGTGGATCATGTGTATGGTTACTGACCAATAGTCTATAATACTATATGTACGTTATGCTGTAGCCATTTCAGATCTTAAAGATGCAGTTCTTTAAAGGCAATCTGGGATTCAAATGCAACAATGCGGTCACCCCGACACTTTTGGGGTAAACAGCTGAGGGATGGGACTAGAGAAATGTAACTACACTCAAATTCATAGACTGAGCTATGGATGCAAGGACTGACCATCCATGAGATCAAAATGATTGTTTTAACCATGTTTTGAAGTTTAGACAGTTGAGACAGCTACTGCCAGGTAAAACATTTGAACTAAGCTAATGACACATTTATATGTTAGCCTGTATTCTTCAATAATCAATGGCCATCTCCGAAGTCTGGCTTGCCTATTTCTTACTTCAACTGCACACTGTGTACTAATCGTACTACATACTATTTAGAACGTACTGTTTATTAAGATTGAATGCAGTAAGCAACAAATATCAGCATACTAGGCTCATCCTACTGAGAATGCGTCATGTAATGTGCAATTACGTTGAATCCCGCCATTCGTTCATTTTGGTACAGCGTGCCCCCCTCAGCTGAATATCAGTTGATGTCAAACACACGCGGGTCTTGAAAGACGACTCTCTTCCTCAAGTGTGCAGCAAATTCTACTAGATGAAACGCTGAAATGAGGATGATATCCTGGCATTTAAAGCATACACATTTTTTTAAATTTCACATACTACTTTGTATACTATTTTGCATACCCAAAATGCCTACTATTTAGAACGCAAGTAGTCAGACACGGCCAGTGGCTATAAATAATTTATTTAAAAGTCCTAAAATGGATGTACCAATCCCAGATTGCCACTTTAAAGTATAAATCGGATAAAGTAGATTACTTACATGATTGGGACACAATTTATAGTACCCCCCCAGAGGAAGTTGCCGCCACTATTTCAACATAATTTCCTGTCCAAAAGAGGAAATGCACCACAGGTGGTTGGTGGCACCTTAAATGGGGAGGACGGGCTCATGGTAATGGCTGGAGCGGAATAGGTGGAATGGTATCAAATACAGCAAACACATGGTTTCCATGTGTTTGATGACATTCCATTTGCTCCGTTCCAGCAAATATTATTAGGCTACTTATACATATTCACGAATTGGGTGTGGGAATTTCCTCATGGAGTTGATAAACATCAACAAATAGGGCACTTACAGCTGTCAGTGTAACTAGCTAGCATGCTAACCTAAACTACCTAGCTAATCTTATCTCTTGTTGTAATTTTTTTTTACTACACCATATTCAAAAGATTAGCCAGATGGCTTTATGGCTGGTTCTGGAGCTGGATTTGTCAAAAGCATTGATTTAGGGAAAACTTCGCAACAGATGGAAACCACTGGCCTATCTTTGACTTCACCATCTATTGTTATCTTCAAAGTTTTGGCATCTTCCATAAATTGCGGCCGCGAATCCACCATAGAAATAGTTAGAAAGAATAAGATGAGGCTCTGGTAATATGGGTAACTATTGAAATATAGCTGATATGCGTTTTTCTACATTTTAATGGACACGGTGCAATATTTGGTAGTTAGACTGCTGGCAGGCTTCGGCTACGGTACAGCAAAGCCAAGTCAGCCTGTGCTCATGGTACTCACAGGGGAAGTGAAATGATAGGCTACAATGACTTTGCTCATGATCATGCAGGCCGCAAATGACATGTAACTATAAATTCCTTTAATTTTCTTTCGTGGTTTCTAGCTAGCGTTACACCAATCAAAGCAGTGGAGCATTTAGTGAAAGCAAAACTTTAGTGGTCAAAATCATTCATCTTGGGGGGAAAATTGACAAATGATCTAATTTTCTGGGGGGGGGTGAGGTAAGTGGAGGTGCAAAACAGAAGTTGGCACCCCGTATTTTAATTTGCTCCATGGCTCAGGCAGCCAAGTGGACCCAAGGCTGTTTGGCTCACCTCAGTCGCGAAGAGGAATAACTTTGCAGCGGTTTCTGATTAATAAACAATGCCATGCTGGTGGGTAGTAACATTCAAATAAACTCAGCCCTGAAACGAAACGTAGGCTGAAAATAATTTGTATGTCATATCATATAAAAAGACACAACATTCACATGGATTTGCCCAAAGAAGTAAGTTCAGATTTGTCACTTCAACCCCAAATATACACAACATATACAAAAGTACGTGGACACCCCTTCAAATTAGTGGATTCGGCTATTTCAGCCACACCCGTTGCTGACAGGTGTCTCCATAGACAAACATTGGCAGGAGAATGGCCTTACTGAAGAGCTCAGTGACTTTCAACGTGGTACCGTCATAGGATGCCACCTTTCCAACAAGTCAGTTCATCAAATTTCTGCCCTGCTAGAGCTGCCCTTGTCAACTGTAACTACAACAACGGCCCAGCCGCGAAGTGGTGGGCCACACAAGTTCACAGAACGGGACCGTCGAGTGCTTTAGCACGTAGTACGTAAAAATTGTCTGTCCTCAGTCGCAGCACTCACTACCGAGTTCCAAATTGCCTCTGGAAGCAAGGTCAGCACAAGAACTGTTCGTCGGGAGCTTCATGAAATGGGTTTCCATGGCCGAGCAGCCGCACACAAGCCTAAGATCACCATGCGCAATGCCAAGCGTCTGCTGGAGAGTTGTAAAGCCGTTGGACTCTGGAGCAGAGGAAACACTTTCTCTGGATTGATGAATCACGCTTCATCATCTGGCAGTCCAATGGACGAATCTGGGTTTGGCGGATGCCAGGAGAACGCTACCTGCCCCAATGCATTGTGCCAACTGTAAAGTTTGGTGGAGGAGGAATAATGGTCTGGGGCTGTTTTTCATGGTTCGGGCTAGGCCCCTTAGTTCCATTGAAGGGAAATCTTAACGCTACAGCATACAATGACATTCTAGACGATTCTGTGCTTCCAACTTTGTGGCAACAGTTTGGGAAAGGCCCTTTCCTGTTTCAGCATGACAATGCCCCCTGTGCAAAAAGCGAAATCCATACAGAAATGGTTTGTCAAGATCGGTGTGGAAGAACTTGACTGGCCTGCTTAGAGCCCTGACCTCAACCCCATCAAACACCTTTGGGATGAATTTGAATGCCGACTGCGAGCCAGGCCTAATCGCCCAACATCAGTGCCCGACCTCACTAATGCTCGTGGCTGAATGGAAGCAAGTCCCTGCAGCAATGTTCCAACATCTAGTGAAAAGCCTTCCCAGAAGAGTGAAGGCTGTTATAGCAGCAAAGGGGGCGAACCAACTCCATATTAATGCCCATGATTTTGGAATGAGATGTTCGACGAGCAGGTGTCCACATACTTTTGGTAATGTAGTGTATCATACTTTGACTAAAACAATGACTTATTGACTTAAATTGTTGTGCACCATCATGGGTAAGCACTGGCCATTGTCTTTCAGCTCGAAAAAGTGGATTTCAACTGAAGTGGGCTTTTAAAAGTATGACAGCTGTTAAGCTAGCCCTGCCAAGATTATTTTTCTCCATATCAAAATATCAGACAGAAATGACTAGACTCATATATACATGACTGTTGTCATTTTCTCCCCTAGTTACAGATAGTTGTTTACAGATAAAAAGACCTTGAATGAGAATTTGTAATTACTTTTAGTAATGTTGGGAGTATCAATAGAAATGAAAATCACCAGGTTAGTTGATGGCAATTTAACAGATGGAAAAGTTTCCCCATTGGGTTTCATCTAGTTCTTTCATCAACTGTCAATAACAATCTTTCATCACCTGAGTTCAAATACTATTTGAAATCTTTCAAATACTTTTGGCATTTTCTCTAGTCTAGCTTTTTTCAAACCTCTCCACAGGGACTCCCAACCATTATTTGAATTGTATTTCAACTATTCCAGAACTACAACACCTGATTAAATTAGTCTACTAATCATCAAGCCCTTGAATTAGGTGTGATAGTTCAGGGCTACAACAAAATTGTCAAACGTCTCAAGTATGGGTAACACATAGACTTAGATAGACATCGCATCATTGTATCTGTCTCATTATGGCATTTGTGAGAGCATGGGCAGTACCATTGAGGCAATCTCCATTTTGAAGTAGTCAATTTGCTTCTCCTACTACTTCAATGAGTTTGCAAACAAACTGGAAGTGTGCATACTGCCACCTAGAGGGTGTTGTTTGAACAGGTATAAAGTCAAGATTTGCGATTGAGTGCCACCTGCCATTATGGAATGTTTGCTCACGAGTATAATTCATTGGCTGATCCCTCCTGATGACACGGATGGAATCATGTGATCCTTCCTAACCCATAGGAAGCCACCCAGTTGACAACTTCAAAAATGGTGAAAGTCCTTAATGCCGCTGAAATGGGCACTAGAGTCCTCTATCTATCTCTATGGGTGTCACGCTCGTCGAACAGAGAGGACCAAGGCGCAGCGTTGCGGGTGAACATATTATATTTATTCAACTGATCACACGATCAAAACAAAGAACGAAACGTGAAGTCCTTCGATACACAACCAAAAGGAACAAGAAACTACAAAACACAAAGTGCAAGACAAACAGTTAAATATGGCTCCCAATCAGAGACACCCAGCTGACACTCGTTGCCTCTGATTGGGAGTCACTCAGACCAACATAGAAAATTAAACATAGACTTACACACCCTGGCTCAACATAACATAGTCCCCAGAGCCAGGGCGTGACAGTACCCCCCCCCAAAGGCGCGGACTCCGGCCGCGCCAAACAACCACAACAGGGGAGGGACCGGGTGGGCACTCCGCCTCGGCGGCGGATCCGGCTCCGGACATGACCCAGGCACGGGTTGTGCTGGACTGACGACGCACACCCCTGGCTTGATGCGTGGAGGAGGAACGGGCCGGACCGGGCTGACGAAGCGCACCCCTGACTTGGTGCGGGGAGCAGGAATGAGCCGGACCGGGCTGACGACGCGCACCACTGACTTGGTGCGGAGAGCAGGAACGGGCCGTGCCGGACTGACGACGCACACCACTGGCCTGGTGCGGGAAGCTTGGATGGGCCGGACTGGGCTGGCGACGCGCACCACAGACTTGGTGCGGAGAGCAGGAACGGGCCGGGCTGGGCTGTCGACGCACACCGTAGGCTTTGTGCGTGGAGCAGGGACAGGCCGGGCTGGGCTGTCGACGCACACCACTGACTTGGTGGGAATGGCAGGAACAGGCCGGGCTGGGCTGACGACGCGCACCACTGACTTGGTGGGAATGGCAGGAACAGGCCGGGCCGGGCTGACGACGCGCACCACTGACTTGGTGGGAATGGCAGGAACAGGCCGGGCTGGGCTGACGACGCGCACCACTGACTTGGTGGGAATGGCAGGAACAGGCCGGACCGTACTGGGGACACACACCACTGGCCCCACGCAGGGATCAGGAACGGGCCGGACCGGACTGGTAACACACCCCAGTACCTCTCGCCGTGCCTCCACACTTTCCCTCTCCTCTGTGCCCAGTGGCCCCCCTAACCTGGCGGCCTTCTCTGCCAACGCTTTGCACCGCTCTAACCCGTACACCTGCTGGCCCGACGTTGTGAGCCCCCCCCTAAAAATTTCCTGGGGGTCTCTCCTCCCTCTTGCCAGACTCGCAATCATCTCCTCCCACGTCCATCCTCTCTCCTCGTCACGCTGCTTGATCCAGTCGAGGTTGCCACGGAGATCTGCCAGCGATGGCTCCTGAACACGCTGCTTGGTCTGGTTAAGGTGGTTTCTTCTGTCACGCTCGTCGAACAGAGAGGACCAAGGCGCAGCGTTGCGGGTGAACATATTATATTTATTCAACTGATCACACGATCAAAACAAAGAACGAAACGTGAAGTCCTTCGATACACAACCAAAAGGAACAAGAAACCACAAAACACAAAGTGCAAGACAAACAGTTAAATATGGCTCCCAATCAGAGACACCCAGATGACACTCGTTGCCTCTGATTGGGAGTCACTCAGACCAACATAGAAAATTAAACATAGACTTACACACCCTGGCTCAACATAACATAGTCCCCAGAGCCAGGGCGTGACAATGGGGTAACTGCATACGCGAAATGTGTCTGAAAGTGGGCATGGTGAAATATGTGGGTGGATCATCAGCGATGGACATAACATTACATTTTAGTCATTTAGCAGACGCTCTTATCCAGAGCGACTTACAGTTAGTGAGTGCATAATATTTTTTTGTACTGGCCCCCAGTGGGAATCGAACCCAAAACCCTGCCGTTACAAGCGCCACGCTCTACCAACTGAGCTATACGGGACCAACATCAGTGCTCTGTGATTGGTTAGATGGTTTTGATTGAGCGGTGTTGTTTTTCGTTTCTTAAAATGTTTTCATTGGTCAGTTCCTGTGTGGTGATGCTGTTTTATCGGGACTGATGGTTTGTTTACAGAGCAGTTTAGGAGAACTAACGTAGAATGTTAGGAGAATAAGGTTAAGGTTAGGAAAAGGGTTAGGGTTAGGCTTAGCTAAAATGCTCTCACAGAAACAGTTGAGTGGCAACAAATCTGCCCAATTAGCTGTTTGCTTTCCATACACCCACCTGTGTTGATACGCCCGTCTATGTTGACACACCCATGTTCCCGCAGCCATGTTGAGTTGCAGTTACGCATGACTTAAACGTCAAGGGGTCCCGAGGAGAGGTTTGAAAAAGGCTGCTCTAGTCTGCCAGATGGATGGAGTTTGCACTCGTCACTATTCTATTGGTTCCACTATGCCAGGCAAGCTGAATCAAGCCCAGATAGAGTATTTAAGATGATTTCAAATAGTATTTAAACTCAGATATGGACCTTACACATTCTACCCTACATTCTTTACTCTACGCTGTTTTGAAACAGGTACACAAAGATGAAGACGGCCACCAACATTTACATCTTCAACCTGGCTCTGGCCGACGCCCTGGTCACCACGACGATGCCTTTCCAGAGCACTGACTACCTGTTAAACTCATGGCCGTTTGGCGAGGTGGTGTGTAAGGTGTTCATCTCCATCGACTACTACAACATGTTTACCAGCATCTTCACCCTGACCATGATGAGTGTGGACCGCTATGTGGCCGTGTGCCACCCAGTCAAGGCCCTGGACTTCCGGACACCCATCAAAGCCAAGATGATTAACATATGTATCTGGATGCTGTCCTCTGCAGCAGGGATACCAGCACTGCTACTGGGGGGCACCCAGTCCAACAATGGTGAGAGCGCTGGCATGCATGCAGGCACACACACATCATAAAAGCATACACACACACATACACATGCATACACACACTCATTCAAGAAAAACGCACAAACATGAATGCATGAATATGCACGGACGCAGGCAAGCACACACACATACAGTGCATTCGGAAAGTATTCAGATCACTTGACTTTTTCCACACTTTGTTATGTTACAGCCTTATTCTAAAATTGATTAAATTGTTTTTCCCCCCTCATCAATCTACACACAATACCCCATAATGACAAAGCAAAAACAGGTTTTTAGAATTTTTAGCAAGTCTTCTTGGGTATGACACTACAAGCCTGGCCCACCTGTATTTGGGGAGTTTCTACCATTATTCTCTGCAGATCCTCTCAAGCTCTGTCAGGTTGGATGGGGAGCGTCACTGCACAGCTATTTTTAGCTCTTTCCAGAGATGTTCGATCGGGTTCTAGTCCGGCCTCTTGCTGGGTCACTCAAGGACATTCAGAGACTTGTCACTCCTGCGTTGTCTTGGCTGTGTGCTTAGGGTTGTTGTCCTGTTGGAAGGTGAACCTTTATCCCAGTCTGAGGTCCTAAGTGCTCTGGAGCAGGTTTTCATCAAGGATCTCTCTGTACTTTGCTCCGTTCATCTTTCCCTCGATCCTGACTAGTCTCCCAATCCCTGCCGCTGAAAAACATCCCCACAGCATGATGCTGCCACAACCATGCTTCACCGTAGGGATGGTGCCATGTTTCCTCCAGACGTGACGCTTGGCATTCAGGCCAAAGAGTTCAATCTTGATTTTATCAGACCAAAGAATCTTGTTTCTCATGGTCTGAGAGCCTTTAAGTGCCCAATGCTAATCACGTAGAGGAACAATTCCCAAACAACCTCTGAGTGAACTGCTGCGCTGGGGAAGGAGGGCACAAAGGTTTTGCTATTAACACAAATTGGAGGTCAACAAACATGCACTGGAGAGCCTCACGTGACAAGATGGCGTATTGAACACACAGCGGTGCGATTCACCTCAAGATAAAAACGAAATATTCAATATCAGTAAGTTAGACTAAATATTAACACTTCATATACTCGTGGGTAATAACATTCAATCTGGATAATAACACAAAACAAATCATAAGGCTAGAGAAATGTATTGACAAATATTACAACAATAAGCAACACTCAAACATGACGGAGGATAAACGAGGAGAATCAATTTCCAAGAGAAAACGCGACTCCTCGATGGCTACAGATGATTTATGCTTTTCACCACTGGGACTGGTAAGTGTGGAAAGCGATCTGTTGAAGTCGATAAATGACAAACTGGGCATACTGGAGTTGGTCAGTAAGGATGTAAAGGAGTTGAAGGCGAGTCTTGAAATGAGTGACGTAAAAGCTGCGATAATGGAGAAAGATACAAAAAAGCTAAAAGGGACAGTCACTAAGATAGAAACGGACGTTAACGGACAACTTTCTGAGAGAAGCCTTGCTAGACATACAGACTAGATCGATGAGAGAACATCTAATACTTACGGGTATCCAAGAAAAAGAAGGAGAGGTTACCGAAAAAATTGTGAATGACTTCTTTCTTACAGCGCTTCAAATCCCACTCGATGCTGTCGATAAAATCCAACTCGAACATTTGTTTTCTTTAAGGATAAAGTAATGGTTAAAGCCTAGGTAAAAGACTTGCTAGCACGAAAATAGGCATGAATGATCAGTTCCCGAGGGAGATTGCAGAACGGCGCAAAGTTCTGTACCCAATCATCAAGGAAAATAGATTAAAAGGGAAGCGTGTTGCTCTCGTAGTCGATAAACTGTATATTGACAACCAAATGTTCCGCGACGCAAAGACTACTCCATGGCTATTCTGAAAGTTCTAATAGAGGAGCCGAATAATTGAACACCCAATACTAGCCATGGTAGGGATTGTAATAATAAAACACATTTATAGTATTTTATAAAGGGATAAGACGGCATTACAAGAAAGGATAACAAGCGAAATAATACATCTTCAAATATAACTAATTAGAACACAAGTACTCAATCAACATAGTGTAGATAAAAACACAGCAAACAGAAGACATAGAAGGCACAGTATGTGGGTATGTGTGGATGTATTGTGATGGAAGGTGTGGTGTGCGTTTTTGTGTTTGGAAAAGTGTGGCGTTAAGTGAGTGAGAAAGGAAATGGTTGCATATCCCAGAACCAACGTGTGTCTGTGAGCAGATGTTGTGAGAGAGAGCTTTCAATTTTGTGCAGATGAGGGATATACATTTTAAAATAAAGTATACATCTAATCTATTTTTGTATTGTCCTATCATGATGAAACGGTCCCCAACCCTATATCCTAGACACCCACCTGAGCGACCCATACACCAAAGAGAAGTCCCCATCTGTTTTATGGCCCTGCTGTAAGTTGCCTATATGCAGCCAAAACAGAAAGATAAATGCGGTCAGAGACCTACTAGAGCAGCACCGCCCCCTCAAGATTCTGAGCCTGCCTGGCAGGGTTGGTCCTACAAAGCCAGAGCCCCCTGATGGGAGAGCATTATATACAAGGAAATTCTCAAAGCTGCTAATGAGAACCTTGACGACCTTGTACCTAGCCGGTGGGAATTCCGGTGGGGTACCCCCACCCAGGTAGTGGCAGTGCTGGCAACACTGGCTGCAGTAACCCATGGGGAGGGGGTCACACTCGGACAATCAGAGAGGGGGCATATTATTGTGGCCCTGGTGGCACAAAATAATCAAAGGTCTGACTGCACGGAGATGCTTGGGAAAAATGGTTACAACGGGGGACCAGAGTGTTTGTGTTTCATGGGAAGAGGGTGGATCGGATCTCCATCACCTAGGACTTGACATAGGTTAATCAAATCTCACATTTTTGTCAATTTTTGCTCAATCTTGCATGCTTTCTCAAACAGCTGTAACTGTCACGGTTTTCTAAGCCAGAACCCAGAAGCAGACCAGGACAAGGTGAGTTGAACGAAGGTGAGTATTTATTAACAGATTCAAAAAGCGATGCAGAATAATCCAGGGGACAGAGCGGGCGACGGGGATGAGTTGGTGGAGGTGCAGTGGCAGATCCAATAGTGGCTCGGCAGCCGCCGACAACCAGGCAGGGGTTGGGTGAAGGTTCCGCGAGAATGACTGTAGATAGAAACAAACGGAGGTAAGTACACGGCAAGCCAACAAGGTGCAAAACAACAAAACTAACGCTAGTAGCTCAGAGGCTGATACGCTGACAAACATACTGTTCATGGCTAATGATCCGGCAGGGAATGGATGTCAGGTCAGAGCTTATGAAGGGTGATGATCAGGACCAGGTGTGCAGATAGCTGATGAGATGCAGGTGCGGGTAATCGGGAGATCTCCCGCCTAGCAACGTCGCCCGGCAACCAGGCAGGGAGCGTTCAAGAACCTTCAGAAAACAGGAGATTCAGAGCAGAAAAACGGCAACACAGGCAGGAACCGACTCAGGACGCAGGGTTCATGACAGTAACTGTATATGCATTCGTAAATCTTGTCCTTTCTTGAGTTGGGCTCTGGGATGTAACAACCGTTGAGCATCTGAGCTTATGGTTGATTGTGGAGGAAAGGGGTTGAGTGTGTAAGAGTATGTGCGTGTGTGTGTGTGTGTGTCTATCCCACATCTGTTGCAAGGGGGTAAGGATGTTAGGGAGAATATAGGATGAACCACAATAATTGTTTGATAAAATAATAATTACTTGACAAAAATGTAATGTAATAGATTGGAAATCCGGGTTATAGGTAACAATCCTTTGCATGAACTGCCGACATTATTACGCATATTAATTGATAATGATGGGAATTAAGATATGCAAGATATTTGAATATATATATTTTTTTAATAGCTATATATATATTGAGATGAGAGCATTGGAAATGCTTTTGGCGGTTGACCTGCTTCTGTTTTGTGGGTGGCACTGTGTGCTGTTTTCAAAGGATGGGTCCTGGCCTCTCGGGGGGCCTAGTGATCCGGGGGGACGGGGGTGGTATGCCGATCACAGGGATGACAACCCAACTTGGGATGGGGAGGGGTCTTTAGCGGGGGGAATAGTGGAGAGCAATTGGAGGGTTACTTAGTAGCAATGCAAATATCATGGTACAGCTATATGGACACTCAATCACTATGGTATTTTTTATTGGTAAATTTACGAACATATATTATGATAAATAGATTTGAAACTTGTATCTCATTATGGTAAGTGGTGAAATAAGTATAGCCAGTTATAATTGTAATGGCTTAGCAGATAATAACAAAAGAAGAACAATATTTACATGGCTCAAAGAGAAGGAATATAATATCTACTGTTTACAGGAAACTCATTCAACAATTCTAGATGAAGTTGTGTGGAAAAAGGACTGGGGGGGCGAAATATACTTCTCCCATGGACAAAGAAACTCAAAAGGGGTGATGATATTAATTAACAGTAATTTCGATCCGAATGTGCAAACTGTCCAAACAGATCCGCAAGGTAGATGGATGATTTTAAATATGTTATTGGACCATAAACAGATATGGTTAATTAACCTTTACGGACCAAATAATGATGATCCACACTTCTTTGACAATACAGTGGGGAGAACAAGTATTTGATACACTGCCGATTTTGCAGGTTTTCCTACTTACAAAGCATGTAGCAGTCTGTAATTTTTTATCATAGGTACACTTCAACTGTGAGAGACGGAATCTAAAACAAAAATCCAGAAAATCACATTGTATGATTTTTAAGTAATTAATTTGCATTTTATTGCATGACATAAGTATTTGATACATCAGAAAAGCAGAAGTTAATATTTGGTACAGAAACCTTTGTTTGCAATTACAGAGATCATACGTTTCCTGTAGGTCTTGACCAGGTTTGCACACACTGCAGCAGGGATTTTGTCCCACTCCTCCATACAGACCTTC